GCAAACGGATCCATGGAAACGAAGAATCTAGCCCTGCTCTACATCACCGTGCCGAGGCACATACTTTCTTTGACCACGTCGTTAGTTGGCCTCAATGAGGCACCTTCCTGGGGCACTAGGGGGTCACGAACCGCAAGGCGCACCCAGTGTGAAGATGGGGAGATGGCGTAGAATACGACTGGGGACCTCTCCTCAGCCTGCAACGGTGGTTTTTGGTGGCCTGCGGTAGGTACCTTCTTCCGCGGCGGTGGATAGATAGCTCCTTTGACTACGACGGTGGTCCGCCAGCTGTCATACCCGTCCTACCTTGTCCGTGGAGTTGGTATCATGCCCCACCCGCCTGGCAGGTGAATAGTCGGCCCGTTAGTACTAGATCTACGAGCCTGAAGCTCGTGCCCGCTTCCGCCTTCTCGCACATCAGCATTCGTTTCGCCTACAAAAACCCCGCTCATGACATGCTAGTGTCCAGCTACGAAGTAACAACTTCAATATCAATATGACAGTTGTAACTACCAGTAATATACCGTCCAGAATTTGGGTATGGAAGCCCTTCCTCTCATCACCACCATCGCGGCGAGCTCCAGTCCCCCGCAGCCGATTCGAGCAATGTGTCATGGTGCTCCTTCTCTTACCACTGGCGCTCCACGTGGCCCGCCTCCCCCTCAAGAACTATCGGATCAATAGGGTGGAGCAGGGTACGCCATCCCATTGCGTCGACGCCGATGGTGCCGCGACCGTCGCGGTGACCGCGGCGGCGTTCTCGCGCGGCCTCGACGCGCTGGCGTCGTGGGAAGAGGACATCGCGGAAATGTCTTAGGCCAAAATTTGAGTTTAAGTCTGAAAGCTGCATGAAAGTTGCTGACTTGTATCCTGAATGTATCCAAAAAGCATAGACTGAAAAAAGCAACTCACACAAACTTAGGATACAAGGGGTAACCGAGCCGCGAATTTTGGATACGTGGGTAACCCGAGGCGTGATTTTCGTGTCAGAATGTTATCTTATGCTCTAGCCTGTAGTGGGGTGCTCTATAGCGAGTACAACCCTTCTAGGGTTTGCTATTTGTATCCTCATTCTTGCTAGTGCAATCCTCTTCTTTCTTCTAAACTTTAACATGCTATCAGAGCAGGTCGATCCCCTTGGATCGATCCTGTGGGTGGGCTTACCACCTCCTAGCTTCCGCTGCAACTCCTACCACTACACTCGGTGCCGCACGCCCCGTGGCGTGTGGCAGTTTTCTTCCCGCCGTGCGCCCCGAGGCGCGCGGCGGTTTTCTTCCCGCCGTGCGCCCCGAGGCGCGCGGCGGTTTTCTGCCCGCCGTGCGCCCCGAGGCGCGCGGCGGTTCTCTGCCCGCTGTGCGCCCCGAGGCGCGCGGCGGGCTTCGGCCCCGTCAACCGTCGCGTCGCCCTCGGGAGGCGCCGCGACGGGCGACGGGGACCCGTTCGTCGCCCCCCGTCGCCCGTCGTGGCCTGCGCGCGGCCCGTACAGGCAGCGCGCGACCCGTACGGGCTGCGCCAGGCCAGCGCGCGACCCGTACGGGCTGCGCCAGGCCCGCGCGCGACCCGTACGGGCTGCGCCAGGCCCGCGCGCCACCCGTACGGGCTGCGCCAGGCGCGCGCGCGGCCCGTACGGGCGGCGCCAGGCCCGCGCGCGGCTCAGGCCGCCTACGCGCGGTTCGGGCGACCCTACCAGGCCCGTGGTGGGCCCGCTCCTTGCTGCCCCTGCCCTCCCTACTGTCCCCCAGTGCTTCTACTCGTGCCCCACCCCTCCTACTCCCCATTCTCCTGTATTAGGGTTTGGGGGTGCGGGGTATGGGGGTGCACCCACTGTGTACTGTTCCCTGCTCCTCCTCCTCCTCCTGTCAGAGGTCCACTTGTGATCCCCGATTGATCCTAGGGAAGGGTTACAGGCACGTTGGCCTGGGGGGTTATGGGCGCACTGACACGCTACTTAAACAAGCCCTTTTATCCCAATGGTCTAGTGGTTGGGATTCTGACATGGTATCAGAGCGAAGGTCTCGGGTTCGAATCCCGGTGTATGCACTTCGGGCATCCCAGTGCGGGGGGGTGTCAGAGGTCCACTTGTGATCCCCGATTGATCCTAGGGAAGGGTTACAGGCACGTTGGCCTGGGGGGTTATGGGCGCACTGACACGCTACTTAAACAAGCCCTTTTATCCCAATGGTCTAGTGGTTGGGATTCTGACACCTCCGTCTCCCTGTGCTGCAGCTGCCGCTGAGGGGGGGTGGACGTGTTGGAGCCGGTGGAGTGGTACTAAGGGGGGGTGAAGGGGGAGTGGAGCTAGCGGTGTAGCAGCGGGTATGTGCCAGGGGGGAGTGGGATAGTTTGGGGAAGCTGAATGGAGGTTGCCGTCGTGTCGCCAGCAGCACCTGTATTCCGGGGACTTCGTCCGGTAGCCCAGTCGTAGCCAGCTGTGCCAGCCGCCCGTGGATCCGTTGCTCGTCTGCCGCTACTTTAGCCGCGGGGCCTGTTACTCCTGTATTCCGGGGACTTCGTCCGGTAGCCGCTGTGCCAGTCTGCCTCCTGTTGCCTGTGTGTCTGCAGCTTCAGCCGTCGCCTCCTATCTCCTCTCCTCTCACTCTCTCTCCTCCTCCTCACTTGCCCGTTGTGACTACCACTAGCTTTGCTCATAATTGTGAACTTAAACTATTGCTTCTTGAACTTGTGCTCAGAATGTGTGGTGACATTGTGATCCACCCTGAGCTTGTACTCCTTTGCTTACTCTGCTGATTACACCCCACTTTGGCTATGGGGGTGTGTCAGAATGTTATCTTATGCTCTAGCCTGTAGTGGGGTGCTCTATAGCGAGTACAACCCTTCTAGGGTTTGCTATTTGTATCCTCATTCTTGCTAGTGCAATCCTCTTCTTTCTTCTAAACTTTAACATTTCGGATTCGTGGGTTTCTCGGACCGCACTTTTCTAGCATCAAATTCGACACCTCGGCACCGAACAGCACACCTGGTCACGACCAAAATGTGGGAGTCTCCCTTGCTGTGAAACTGCAGGTGTCCGATAGATTAGCATTAGGTTAGCATTCTCGAAAGTTGCGAACACGGTAACGTGGATACAAACCGCACGACCGTCGCCAAGGTACAACCAGGAATCGGAGCTGGCAACAGGCACAAGGGTTCACAGTCACACCCAATCAGTGCTAAGTGTTCAGATGTCGGGTACTGACGTGGCTTCCACGGACCAAGGTTCAGCTAACCCGTAACGAAGTGGTCGAACCTAATGATTTTTTACTAACCAATCACTGGGGTGCTCTTGCCTGCAGCAAAAATCAACGGCATATTTTGACGACACTTCAGCACACCTCCAAGCTCTAGAAGCATCTATCTTTCTTACCCTCACTCTGCGCATGACTCTCTCCCGACCAAACACCCGTCACCTGCCTCATTTTCACACAACTGACTAAGGTTCTTCACATCTCCTGCCTCTGAGTGTCCTCTTAGCACAATTAGCGTCTACCTAAAGACCACATCACTTCTACGTGTTATTGCATTTTATTACCACTGCTTGTAACTCAGACCCATGTTATCAATTCGGCCCCTGCGAATCCTCCCCTATCCTTTTACAGATTACACAGCAACGTTTTCTACACGCGGAGAACGTGGCACCAGCGACTAGTAACGGAATCGCCGGGTTCCGCGCGAAAAGCGCCGAAAGGTGTGCTACACATGCTTTTTGTAACTCGTAACCAAGCTATCATTTTTCCGTGCGTGTGCCTTAGGTTGTAACTCGTTCATCTATTCTCACGGGTTATGCTTCGCGAGCAATCGATCTGTTCGTATCTTGCCGATATGTGTGCAGATCTGTCGCGATGGCTTGTAAGTTCCTTTTTTTCCCGCCCCTGCCAGTCCTCCCATTCCTTAGTGCATTTTAATTAGTTGCACTTCTTTTTTTCCCCAGCCTCCCAATACTGCTCGTCGGCATGCTCACTGCATTACTAGGACCGGTGGCCCGCGAATCGTGTGGGACGCGGCGTCTTCAGCGCGAGAAACGCGGTGAGTGTGGTAGTCGCACCAAGGCCTCTCTCTGCCTCTGCTTGAGATTTTAACCATGCGCGTTCTAACCCCATGTTGTCTGGAGTCCAACCTGTAACGATAATGTTGTTATGTCTTTTGTTGATGTAATCATCGTGTTTCAGGGCTGATTTCCATGTGCAGGGTTCATGGAAGTCAATAGATGTTTCCAGGCGTTTGAACAATACCCAGAAGCTCTCAAGCATATCTAAGGCAATGTTATGAGTGACGGTGAAGGCCCGCTGGTGGTAAGTCACTGAGGTGGGGAACAAGCACATGACTAACCAAAGTCTAACATTATGTCATTGTTTTGTTTGCAGGCGTTAAAACGACGCATTTTTTCGCCATGTGTGCCCTTCATATAAGTACTTGGGTCTAGCTGTGTTCGTTGTTCTGCTGTGTTATTGCAAAGTGTATACTTCAGAAGTATGTACGCAAATGTCAGAAATATTGTGTTGCAGACGAATGTATACATAAAAAATTGCAATAACAATCAGCCAGTGAAACGAAATCTCCGCTTGTGCGGTTCAGGCAAAACGGCGGCTTGTAGAAATCAAGTTTCGCACACTTCAAGGTCATGTCTGATTGGCCCACATGGCAAGTTGCCGTACACATATCGAGAATGACACCTGGCACAAATATCTTTGCTTACGTGGCAAAAAATCTTCACGTACGTACCAGCGTACGTACACTTCGAAGTCGAAACTGTACGCAGGCCACGTGGCAGGTGGTGAAACTGCATACATGTGACTGAAATGTATACGCAACGTGTCCAAAGATTGTCCGATAAGTTGCGGTTGTGTTGCGGGAAAGTTGCAGGAATGCAACTTTTTCGCAACTTTCCCGCAACCACGATCTCTGCAACATTTGACCATCACTGGAAAGTTGCAAAACCAAGGTATCCAAAAAGTATCCTTTTTGCAACTTTCCCGCAGCTTTCTGGCAAGTCCTTTTTTGCGATGGAGGCGGCGCTGCGCGACGGGGAGAACTGGCGGCCGACTCCCCAGGAGCAGCAGCAGCCGGCGCGGAGCCTGCAGCACGCGGATGATTCGCGGATTATTCGCGTGACTGCGGTTACCGTTGATGGTGCAGTGACACTTCACCACAAACAAGTGCGAACAGCTCGATTTCGAGTCGTGCCGTTGCCCGCGCCGCCAGCAGCAGCAGGCAACCAGACGTGGGATGACTTTTATCCGGATGTTGCGGTAGTTCCGTGTCGCCCGAAGCGCAACTCGATGGCGAGGGACGTGCGATGGCTGCAGCTTCTGCTGTCGATTGCGCGATTCGCGAGTAAGGTGAGAGCCACTATCATGCCGGCCGCACTTTGTGTTCCAATGCAACTTGACAGGTGAGGCCTGGAAAGCCGCGTAGAAGGGGGCCCGTGCCTCGATCCCTCACACTCGTGCCTCACTCGTCCTCCGGATCGCCCCCAATACCCCCACAGTCCCATCGTCCGTGGATGCCCATGGTCATCGTGTCGTCGTGTCGCCCGCCGCTCAACCTCTTCCATTGCAACTTCCTCGTGCAACAACCCGCCGCGCAAGCCGTTGCGCACGGCATCGTGGGAGCGGGGCCGGAGGGCGACGTGTGGGTGTATAATGTGACGGCGGCCGACATGCGCGAGCGCATCCAACCCCCCGGGTCGTGCGCCATGGCGCAACCCACTGGGGGCGCCGCAGGTGCGCTGCTAGAAACCACCCTCCCTTCTCTTGTACGTGCGCAGCCTTAAGTCTGAATTCCAACTAATTGCTCAAGTCCGATACGAAATAGTTCCCCACACATGAGGCTAACGCCAAGCCTTCGCTCCCTTTTTACCGTCGCTGCCCTTTGTTCCTTTCGCCCTTTATAATGTCCTCCCATTCTAACTCTCTCCCCCAATTTGCGCCCCCTTGTCTCCCCCGCTCACCCCCTCCATCCGTAGCGCATCCCCCCTCCGCCGCACCCCCCCGCTTCGCGTTCGTGACGGTGCTGCACAGCAAGGACGACTACGTCTGCGGTGCAATCGTGCTCGCGCATGCCCTCCGCACGACCGGGCTCGCGCTGCCCCCCGCCCTCGTCGCGGGCTACAGCAGCGCCAATTCCAGCGGAGGCGCGGCGCAGCCCGCGGAGGCGGAGCTGGTGGCGATGGTGTCCGCAGAGCTGAGCGCGGACAGCCGGAAAGGGCTTGAGGCGGCGGGATGGCGGATTGTGGAGATCGAGCGGGTGAGGAGCCCGTGGGCCAAGCCCGGTCAACACAGCGAGTACAACTTCAGGTGCACGCCCATGTGCGGGTGTGTGGGTGGCGCCGTGGGAGAAATGACAGGGAAGTGAGATGGATTTGGGGGGAGAGGGAGAGAATTCCAAGCATGAAGCTGGGTTGAAGAGTGGGATATGAGAGGAGGAGAGAACAAGGTTCTCTCACCCACTCGTGATGTCTCCCGCATTGCTTTCCTGTCTCCCACTCCCTACCCTCCCCTGATTTCTCTGACCCTGATTTCTCTGCCCCTGATTGCTCTGCCCCTGATTCCTTCTCCCCCCACCTCCTGGCACGGCAGCAATCTGCGGTTGTGGGGGCTGACAGAGTACAAGCGAATCGTGCACATAGACTCGGACTTCCTGCCTTTCCACTCCCTCTCGCACCTCTTCCTCTACCCGGAGCTCTCGGCGGGTGGCAACGACGACCACCGCTTCAATGGAGGCATGATGGTCATCGAGCCCTCGCTGTGCACGCAGGCGTTTCTCATCGCCAACATCCGCTACTTCGTGTCGTACAACCGCGGCTTCCAGGTGCCAATGGCTCGCTGCTCTGGTCGGGAGATGCTCAGGTTCCAGTCGCGCTAGGTTGGGGATTGGGTGAATTGCGTAGTACATGCCAATGCTTGTACGCTTTCCAGCAATGCTGCTCACAGCTTGGCCAGAGGTTGTGTAATGCCAAAGGGTGTCGTCTTGTCGCGAGAATGAGCCGCTCTTCACCATCTTCCCCCTGTTTTCTCTTCCTTCCCCACATGCACGCACTCCTGCCGTCGCCCTCCCAGGGCTTCATAAACAACGCATACCCCTGGTGGCACCGCCTGCCAGACTACACCAACGTCCTCAAGCACAAGCCCCTCCACGGGCACGTGTATCCCGACGGGGGCCTGGCTGCCCAGAACGCTCTCTTTGCGTCGGACCCCCCGCTGATGTCCACGATTCATTACCTTGGCCGGAAGCCTTGGGTGTGCTTCCGGGACTATGACTGCAACCTGTCGGCGTCGCTGCATGACCTCAAGTTTGTGAACGACGTTGCGTTCCGGCGGTGGTGGGCGGTGCACGATGGGATGGACGAGAGGCTGAAGCCGTGGTGCTGGATGAGTGAGGAGCTGAAGCAGGTGATCTGGAGAGGCATGAAGAAGCGCAAGCAGGATGGGGTTGAGCCAGAGCGATGGAATTATACAATTTCGGACCCGAGGAAAGACTTGGTGCTGCCGTGGAAGGTTAACCAAAGGACATGGCCAGGATGTTCAGAAAGCTGAGCCCCTCCTGTGGTTGATGTAGTGGCTTAAGATTCTCCCAACAGCTTGAGTAGAAGCTCCGTGTGTGTGTATTTTATGAATCCTGGAACATTAAATCTCATCACAAAAGTCTATAGCGTGCATCCATCATACCGAACATCGATGTGTTACACATCTACTTCAATCAACCCACGGGTATGAAACAGGCTGATAGCCCAGCCCAGAGCAGCGTACGGCAGAAGAAATAGCCGAGAAGGAAATGCCCTACGGGCGTGCTCATTGATAGCGCGCCCGAGTGGAGGCACTGGACACAGGAGGGATGACAGTGTGCAACAAGCCCGTTTCGACTAACTCCCGCATCGCATACGCCTCCCCTCTCTGCATCATCTCCTCTATCCACAGCCACGTCCGCGCCGGGGCAGAGGAAGGGGGGTGCTGCGGGGCTGTAGGCAATGCTGCAGCGATAGGAGAGGAGGATGGAGTGGGGGAGATGGGGGAGGGGAGATGTCGGAGGGAAGTGGAAGGTGGAGGAGGCAGAGGAGGAGGGGGTGGAGGAGGAGGAGGAGGATGGGGTCGGCGGTGGGGAGGATGTGGGACGAGAAGACAGTGTGTGGAGGGGAGGGGAAGCGGGCAGGGCATCGTCGTCATCCTCACTGTAGTGCTCGCTCACTTTCACCTCCTCCTCCCCCCTCGCCCACTCCTCCCACCCTTGCTCGCCCACCTCACGGGCCCGCGCCCTCTCCCCTCCTCTCCCCCGCGCACCGAGGCTCAGGAAGTCCCAACGCCGCCGACGCATCTCCTGGATATCAAACCCGAGGAACGGCGGGCAAGAGGAAGGGGGGGTGAGGGAAAGGTTCATAGGTAGGGCGAGGGTACGAGGAGAGGAGTCACGAGGTTGCAGTGCCTTGCTGGTGCATTTGGTGGGGGAGGGGAATGCAACGAGCCGTGGTGCTGTGGCATGGAGTGCGTGTGGGTATGCCTTGCCTCATCCAGTGCAAAGTCGAGGAAGAGCGAGGTCGCAGATGCCGGCGCGAGGTGCTCCCTGTGACACACGCAGAGCCGCGTGGAAAATGGGAACGAGGGCGGGGAGGAAGGGCGAAGTGGGGATGGGGGGGAGAGAGGACATGGTAACGTGAGGTGTAAAGGAGATGGATGGGAAGGAGCAAGGGGCACAGGTTGGGGGAAGGCAAAGGATGATGGGACGGGCTGAGAGAAGGCAAAGGCCAAGAGCGGATATGCAGAGTCAAGGCATGCTGCATGCATGAGTGCGGCAGTGGCACACTCCATGTTACATACTGCATTGCAGAGTGCACACAGCATGGCATTGCGCACTCAGCATGGCACATCGCACACAGCAGCATGGCATGGCGTGGCACATGGCACGTACGGCATGGCGAGAATGGAGCCGTCAACACATCTGCGGCCGCGGTAGAGCGTCCAGGGGCGGCCGTCCATGAAGAAGGGGATGTGCACGGACGCCAGGCAGCACGCTATCAGGTCCGCACGCGATGGGAACTGCGACACCACCTGCCTCTGGAACCACGGCGCGCTGCCACAGGTGGGGGAGGGGAGATGAGTGGCGATGGGGAGACGGGGGATGGAGGGAAGGAGGAGGGGGGGTAAAGCGGCAGTGAGCGCAGCAGGCTGAACATGGTGAGTGGAAGAGCAACCGGAGGGTGGTTGCAATGTATTCGTTTGGTACAGAAAGGAGTATGCAGGGATGACGGTGGGTAGTACCGGTGGCGAATGGAGGGCAGTGTGACTATGTGGAGAGAGAGGCGGTGCGTGCAGCGGGTGTGAGCATCCGGTGGGAGCATGAGGTCCAACCACTCGCCCACCAGCCGACCCCACACTCCTGCCAGCCCTGCGAGCAGAGCATCCAGGGGACAGGTGTAGGGAAGGGTGGGAAGAGATGGAGCGAGGGAAGAGGATGGAGCAGCTCCAGCAGAGGCAAAGGAGCTGGCAGGGAAAGGACAGGGGGCGCTGAAGCAGCGTCGAGGGAGCACCTACACCCGCCACTCGCCCCACCCGCCAGTGGCCCCACCTGCAGGGCGATCCCAGACGCCGTTGGCAAGGGAGAGGTCGAAGGCGGCGCGCGCAGAAGCGGTGGCGTCCACCCCGCATGCCGTGAGCGTGGCTGCCAGCGCGCCCGCACTCGCCCCCACCAGCCTCGCCCCGTCCACCGCACCGTGCCGTGACACGGCCCCCGCCGCCCCCATCTGCCAGTAGAAGAACATCCCGCTGTTGTCACCCCGCGTGATAGAAGCGAGGGTGGGGGGGGGAGGGGGAGAGGAGAAGAGGAAATGGGGGAGAAGGGGGGAATGTTGGGAGTATTGATACATGGTCTGTCTGTCGTGCACGTCAGGTGTGCACGTCAGGTGTGCACGTCAGGTGTGCACGTCAGGTGTGCACGTCAGGTGTGCAGAAAGGGCAGGAGAGAGTGTGCTCACTCGTTACAGACTGCCAGCCATCGCAAACACACACCAAGCAAACACAAGCCACTCCACACACACCACGCCATGGCCGTCAAGATATTACCTCATTTCATTAGCCACTCCCCCCACAGCACAGGCACACCGCCCCCATACTGCGCTTTCCTCCCCCACACCGCCCCCATACTGCGCTTTCCTCCCCCACACCGCCCCCATACTGCGCTTTCCTCCCCCACACCGCCCCCATACTGCGCTTTGCTCCCCCACACCGCCCCATGCCACCATACCCGCCAGGAAAGCACAGCACTGGCCGATCCCCCGCAGGATCCACATCCCCCTCTCCGCTGCCCCTCCCCGCGCTCACTGCTCCGCCCATGGCGGACCCCCCTTCCGTCTCCGCCTCCCCACGCAGCTCTGCAACGCTGCCCTCCGCGCTTCCGACCTCCCCTCGCTGCTCTCGTTCCCGCGACCACGGCTTTCCTGCACTGCTCGCCTGTGCGCGGACCGCTCTTCTCCTCTGCGCGTCTGCTTCGGTTCTTCCGCCTCTCCGCCCAGGCGGGTCACTCCGGCAGCATGCCGCCTCGATTCCCGCCCCCAGGCGCCCTATCAGTCGCCGTGAAACGCGGTCCAGCTTTCGCTGCTGCACAGCTGCTGCGGTGACAGTTCCGACCTTCCGGCGAAGTCCGCTGCGAGAGTCACCCCAATGAGTTACGGATGGGATCGCGATTGGTTGCGACGGCGCGAAGACAGAAGGGAATGATGAGGCAAGGAGCATGGCCGAAGGGAAAGAAGGCTGGGGACGAGGCGCCGGCGATGACGGTCGGCATCGAGACGCGGTGATCCGTTGCGGTCCCGCGCGGTCACACGGCGCGACGCGGCCAGGGAAGGGAATCAGAGGGCGTGCGGGGCAGAAAGGAAGCGCGTGGGCGCTCATGGTGGTAACTGATGAGAGATGATTGATCGCCGCCAGGTGTCTGCGCGCTACTGCTGCCTCGCGAAAGGCGGAATGGGAGGCGGACGCGCGGCAACAGAATTGAGTGTTGATTTGCGCGTCGCCATGGGGATGCTGTTTTGTGGGAGAGAAATCTGTGTTGTGTTGTGACGCTGTTAGGCAGTGACATCATCCATAGTCAATTATTGGGTGTAAGGAATTTTCCTGAATTCCTTATCGGGGTTGACTACTTCGCGTACAACCCGATTTTCGGAGTTCGCACGTTCGGCCGATTTCAACGATGCCGAGGCTCCTCGCGTCGCCTTCGGCATTTCCATCGCCCAACCTGCACCCAACCTCGCTTGTCCGAGGTTTCCTCCTAGCTAGGCTAGCCCTACATTAGTCTGTGCATTCCTTGTATTCGCAGTTGATTCAGTGACAGCCTCGTTATTCGTTTATCTGCGCAATCTCTTTACAACTCATAACACCTGGTATCAGAGCTACTTTCCTAGTTCACCCCGCTTTTCGAGGGTAGTTTGGTGGCACGGGTGTGGTTGGTTTAGTGACTACACGACGGTTGGTTGCAGGGATTGTTAATTCAATCCTGCCCGACTCCGATAGTTCGTGTTTTCACTTGCCGGGAGGCCACGGGTACCCGACTGCCCACCAGACGTAGTGCTAGGCACATGGATCAGGAGGCTATTAACCGGCTGATGGCGCAAGTGGCAGAAATGAAGCAGGGCATGGAATCATTAATGGCGGAAGTGACAACGTTACGGGAGGAAAACGCCGAGCTACGCCAGACGCGAGGTGAAGCGCGTCAGGAGTCGCCTGTGGACGAAGGCGAGGGCAACAGTCAAGCGATGAGCAATCCGCTGGATGCGCTCACACGTGACTTCGAAGAAGAAGATAGGCAGCGAGCGGCAGCAGCGCCAGTTGCAGTGACGACGATCAAGATAAAGCCTGCCAACCCGCCCCCGTTTAATCCTACGGACAAGACGGTTACGGTAAAAGGGTGGCTGTTCGGGGTCGAAGTCTTTTTTACTGCAGCCGGAGTTAATGACGACGCCACGCGTATTAATTACGCGGTTTCGCTTCTTCGAGGTGCAGCGCTTGAATGGTGGCGCCGGACCTTGGAAACAGGGACGCCGACAGGTGTGACACATGCGGCAGACGGGACCTCTACAGTGGTTAATCAAGTGGCAGAACCAATCTTCGGTGTGACCAAGATACGCACGTGGAAGGAGTGGGGCGCAGCCTTACGAGATCGCTTCGAGCACATATCCGCCTCGGAGCAAGCTCGCATGAAGCTGCGTGCATGGTCGCAGATGGCTTCTGTCCAAGACTACACAGCGTCATTTATGGGCTTCGCCGACCAAATTGACGACATGTCGGAAGCAGAGCGGTTGGATAAGTACGTCAGCGGCCTTAAATATGAAATACAGTTTGAGGTCCGCAGAAGCCGCCCGACATCGTTCCTCGAAGCAGTACGAGTGGCGGAGTCAACTGATGCGCTGATGCAGTACGCGAGAGCAGCTTCCAGGGATGGGAGAAGCTTTCGTGGCCAGACCCATCGGGCCACGATCAACGCCGTCCATACACCCGACCGCCCTCCTAAGGGTCAGTGTTTTCGGTGTGGGAAGGTGGGTCACTACAGGAAAGACTGCCAGGAGAAAATGCCGCTGACAGGGGACGACAGGAAGGAGCAGGGAAATGGGAAGAGTCTGTAATTAGCGGGCCCTTTACTGACTGTGCTCCGTCGCCCGAACACCATCATCCCCACCGAGTCGTGGTTCCGATTCATGCAATCGATCGCACTCGGCCGAATAACGGGGATAATCATGTGGATCACCCTGTGCTGGTCGCTGGCAAGGTGTTAAAAAATAATTTGAAAATGTTCGTCGATGGAGGGGCCAGCCATAGCCTCTTCAATTTGGCGAGCGCAAAAAGATGCAAGCTGCAACTCGACAGGTGTCTGCCCGAAATCGACGCACGCCTCGTGGATGGGACGCCTCTGGCGATAACGGAAGAAACACGGACGGTCAGGATCGAATGCGGCGACGATTTCGGCTTCAGCATGAAGTTTCTCGCGACAACATTGGACGGCTGCGACGTGTTGCTGGGACGCGATTGGCTGCGACGACACAACCCCGTCATCGACTGGACAACGGGATCGTGCAACATCAGCAAGCACGAGGGGCTAATTCGGCTGCCTGCATGGACACCTGACAACATCCAAGCCCCGTGCATCAAAGCCATCACTATAGCTCGCCACTTCAACAAGGGCGCGCAGCTGTTCGCTGTCTGCTTACGCGAGTTGGCAGTCGACACCGACGGAAAGGACATTGAGAAGCTGTGTGCAACTGTACCTCCGGATTTAGCGGAGCTGATTCGACAGTACCCCGACATTTTCCCGGACGACCTGCCACCTGGGCTGCCACCCGAGAGACCAGAAGACCATAAAATCCAGCTGGAGCCTGGCGCGCAACCGACGGTTCGAACACAGTGGCGGTTGACCCAGCCGGAACTCGAGGAGCTGTGCCGACAAATTGACGCACTGTTGGAGAAAGGGTTCATTCGGGCGAGCACCTCCCCGTTCGCGGCACCGATCCTGTTTACTTCGAAGAAGGACGGTGGGCTTCGCATGTGCATCGATTATCGCGCGTTGAACCGGGTGACCATCAAGTCTCGCTACCCAATCCCACGCACCGACGACCTTCTTGACCAGCTTCGCGGTGCTTGTTACTTCTCGAAAATCGACTTACGTGGCGGTTACCACCAGATTCGGGTCTTCGCCGACGATTGTCACAAGACCGCGTTTCGCACACGCTACGGGAGTTACGAATTCACGGTGATGCCTTTCGGCCTCACGAACGCGCCTTCAACATTCCAACTGACCATGAACAGGGTTTTTCGGGATCTTCTAGACCGATGCGTCATCGTCTATTTGGACGATATCCTCATTTTTAGCAAGACACGAGAGCAGCACCTCCGTGACCTGGATACAGTGTTTAAGCGGCTGCAGGAGAACCGACTCATCACCAAGGGCTCTAAGTGCGAGTTTTTTAAGCAGGAGTTGGAGTTTTTTGGGCACGTCATCTCACGCGACGGCATTAAAATCGACCCGGCGAAAATCAAGACCATACAGGAGTGGAAGTCCCCGACGAATGTCACGGAACTCCAGAGTTTTCTCGGATTCGTGAATTACGTCAGGCGGTTTATCCCGAATATGGCGGGGATAACCGGCCCGCTGACCGACCTGCTGCACAAGGACATGAATTTTGTGTGGGGGGAGGAGGCAGAAGCGGCTTTCCAGGAACTCAAGAACTTTCTAGTTTCCCCTCCTGTGCTGCGCATCGCCGACCCATCGAAGCCGTTCGAAGTCGTCACCGACGCCTCAGATTTCGCCATCGGAGCTGTACTACTCCAAGATTTCGGGAACGGGTTGCAGCCGATAGCCTACGAATCACGCAAGCTGCAGGCGGCTGAACGCAACTACCCGATCCACGACAAGGAGATGCTCGCCATCATACACGCGTTTAAATTATGGCGATGCTACCTGGTGGGCGCCGACGTTACTGTTCGCACGGACCACAAGTCCCTCCAGTACCTGCGAGCCCAACCCAATCTCAACCCACGACAGATTCGGTGGCTGGACTACATGGAGAGCCACTTCACCTACCGCATCACGTACAAAAAGGGGGCGAATAACATCGCAGACGCCCTGACCCGACCGACAGTACAATCTGCTGCAGTACTCATCACCCACTCGAACCCGTTACTTACCGGACTATTTACCCACGGCTACACTACGGACCCATTCTTCACGACGGGAAATCATCGGCAGGCTACGACGCAGAAAGGGGACTATTATCTAAAGGCCGGAACCGACCGGATTTGGGTCCCCGCTTACAGGCTGCTGCGTGAACTCCTTATCCAAGAGGTCCACGATTCGAACTTCTCCGGACACTTCGGGGTTGATAAAACCCAGAAACTACTGCACCGTCAATACTATTGGCCTGATTCCTCTAACGACGTGCAGCGCTATGTGTCCTCATGCAGGGTGTGCCAAGCAATGAAATCGACACGTCAGCGGCCAGCTGGACTGCTGCAACCCCTCGAGCCACCCGAACGACCGTGGCAGCAAGTGACGATGGATTTCGTCACGGGGATGCCAGCTGGGCCGTCCGGCAACGACGCCGTTCTCGTCGTCGTCGATCGCTTCACGAAAATGGCGCACTTCGCACCATGCCGAACGACAATCACAGCCGAAGAATCTGCGCGCCTCTTCATCTCAACGGTCGTGCGACTGCACGGCATCCCTTCGGCGATCATCAGCGACCGAGACCCGAAGTTCACATCAAAGTTCTGGAAGGAGACGTGGGCGCAGTACGGCACGGAGCTACAGTTCTCATCGGCATATCACCCACAGACGGACGGTCAAACCGAGCGGACCAATCAGACCATGGAGCAGCTGATCAGGACAAACTGCCCCGACCCTGCCCGCTGGGAAGACTCCCTCGCAATGTTGGAGTTCGCTTTCAACAACGCACCGTCCAGCACGACTAATCACTCCCCGTTTTTTCTAAATTACGGGATGGACCCGACAGTTCCTACGGCAACCACTCTCGACAACCCGGTCCCGAGGTCACAGACTTTCGTGACGGAACTTCAGGAAGTCCGAGAAAAAGCCGCCGACGCAATCCGCAAGGCGAATATTACTTCCCGAAAATACACCGACCTTCTACGCCGGGAACTCGTCTTGACCACTGGGCAACTAGTGCTACTTGACACGAAGAACCTGCACCTGCCCGGGCCGTCAAAACTACGGCCACGATTTTGTGGACCTTTCAAGATTCTCAAGATGGTGACACCTGTCACCGCGAAGCTGTTACTACCGGACGACTGGCGCATTCACGACGCCTTCCACGTCAGCCTTCTTCGCAAGTTCGTGCCAGCCACGACCGATATCGCACGTCAGCAAGCTGCCCCGACAGCACGACCTGTGCCGGAACCGACTCTCGACCCATCGAAGATTTTGGCACATAGGGTCCGCATTGACGCAGCTGGACGACACGTGGATTTTCTAATCCGATGGACTGACCGCACCAGTGAGGACGACACGTGGGTGCCATCCGCCTCGCTCGACGCCTCGCCACTTGTTGGGGATTACCTGGCGCGCCGGCGTGTTTCGGATATTGACCGCCTTTCTTAAGGGGGGGGGGGGGGGTGGTGTAAGGAATTTTCCTGAATTCCTTATCGGGGTTGACTGCTTCGCGTACAACCCGATTTTCGGAGTTCGCACGTTCGGCCGATTTCAACGCTGCCGAGGCTCCTCGCGTCGCCTTCGGCATTTCCATCGCCCAGCCTGCACCCAACCTCGCTTGTCCGAGGTTTCCTCCTAGCTAGGCTAGCCCTACATTAGTCTGTGCATTCCTTGTATTCGCAGTTGATTCAGTGACAGCCTCGTTATTCGGTTATCTGCGCACTCTCTTTACAACTCATAACATTGGGGGTCTGTACACGCGAAGCAGCTTTTAGAGTTGCTGATCGTATGTACCAATATGTTCTGTATAAGATATCACACCCACATACGGTAGCATTCCAGTTCCAATATTACTCCCAACCCACAAGCCAGGTAGAGAATACAATCAGCTCAAACCAAACATGATCTATAATTCCTAGTAGAAATGGCGTTCCTCCTCACCCGCCTAGCTAGGGCTACTTCTGATATCACACCCTAATACCAACTGACACTGCTGAACTTCCTTGTGACCCACTTAAGCTCCGCCCTCACGGATTCCTCCCGGCGTTACCTCCTCCCGCACGCCGTGCAGCATATGGCCCGTGCCGCACCTGCTTATGTTCCGCATGTGCCCTCTCCGCTGCCTTCAACCCAGCAGCACCTCTCCCATTACCCCTGTTGCGTGCATTGACTCCCTGGGCCCCGTTGGCTCTGGTTCTCTGGGCATTTCTTGCCTGCCGCACACGTGTGCCCATGTGCCCTGCAAGAGCAGTTTGCACGCCCCCCTTAGACCTGACTCCTTGCTTTCTTGTTCCCACGCTAGTCTGCTTCAACCCGTTGCCACGCTTACCAGCAGTCGATCTCAACCACTGCTTGAATTGGCCCCACAACACGGCCATCCTTTGTTGCGCGATGGCAGCACTCCCACCAGAACCAGCTGTGCCGTAGTCCGCGTAATCGCCTGCACTGTAATCTCCATTGTAGTCTCTTTCGTGATAATCACCGTTGCTGTCATCGCCACTATAGTCATCGCCTCCACCACTGTAGTCATCACCACCCCCAGTATTGTCATCTCCATCATAATCACCATCACTACCACTGCCATCCCCATTGCCGTTTCCATCCCCGTAATCGCCACCATCGTTATAGTCACCGCCGTTGTCATCACCATCACCATCACCATTACCATAATCACCGCCATTATCATAGTCACCACCGCCATTGCCACCACCGTAGTCCCCCCCATAGTCGCCTCCGCCATTGCCCCCTCCGCTTCCACCCCCACCACCACCGCCAGTCCCGCCCCCGGTCCCGCCCCCAGTGCCGCCGCCCGTGCCGGCCCCAGTTGACCCCGTGCAGCTGAAGTCCACACTTGCCTGGCCACTGCAGTGGCATCATCCCGGGACGGCACGAGGGACGCATGGGGGACAGACACAGATAGGATGTTCAGTCTGCACCGCCTTGTGGGAGGGGAGGGCACTGGGTCTCACCAGTAGCTGACACCAGCACAAGACAAGGACTCCACTGGTAGTCGACAGATGCGCGGTAGAGAGATACTCGTAGGAGAGGCGAGAGTCGTGATGCAGCAAGAAATGGGCAGCAGAGGGTACTAGGACGAGGGTGAGAGGGGTACGAGGGACGCACTAGTTGCCGCCATGGTTCGCGAGGGTTGGCGACTGATCGCTGGAGAAGGCCCAGATGATGCTGTTGCTCCCCGTCAGGCTCACCGGCACTGCGCCGTCGCCAGACGACCGAGAAAACCTGCGGTTGGCGCCAGCGGGAAATAACGGACCGACGAGAAGAGGATAACTTAACCACAGTGAGAACACTCGGCGGGAAACGCATATGCGCGGTGGAAGGAATCATGCGCCATGCGACTTTCAGTCAGCGGTCTACTGAAACCGTTGGTACCGGCTCGCGGTGACGGCAACGCGACTGCTGTGGTGAGCACGCGGCACATCTCCTATGATGACGCCATCAGGATGGGACCACGGCACTAAGAGACTCGCGTCGTAGTATCCTCGACGAGTCGCGTACTTGATAAGAGAGCCGCCATTGGCGGAGGAGGCGGAGCCGATGGAGAATCGGCTGGAGGGGCGCACGTCCGCCTCGCTGTACCCGCTTATAGCATACGCCTTCACCGCGCCGCCCGGCAGCCCGCCAATCACGGCGTCGGAGCCGGGCATGCTGCCGTCCGGTGACCACGCCACAGCCACCCACCCTCCAGCCGCCGCGCCGCCCACCTGCATGGCGAGAGAAAGGCTCTTGCCGCCCGCGGCGAGGGCCCAGTGCAGCACGAGACTGGGCAAGCGGAAGTAGTGGTAAGAGAAGGAGGGGGAGTGAGAGAAAGAGGAGGGAGGGAGGGTGAAGGAAAGGCGGGGTTGCGGGAAGATGGAATGGAGAAAAATAGTTAATATCATCAACGTTAAAGGCATTTGAGGTCGGAGCCGGGGAGCGCGGTGTGAATGCAGCCACACGGCGATGGTCAGGAGCGAGTGGGAGAGAGAGTGGTAGAAGCGAGAGAGAGAGAGGTCGTACTCGGATCCGGAGAGTGCGACGGATGACGTGTATCCGGCGATCGACGACGCCGAACAGCCGCCCGCCGCCGCGGGAGTCTTCACGGCGAGTTTAGCGACGGTTGTAGTACCGACTAGGCCAGTTGTCACAACAGCCGCCGACTTCGACGAGTGTAGCGGCGAGCGCACGAGCCTCCCACGCCCGGCTCGGGTAGCAGCAGCCGCGCCGCCGGAATGCCTGGGTCGGTTCGGTACGGTGTACGCACATGCTGCCAGAAACGTCGGGTCGACGTGCACCTGCAACACAAGCAGAAGCAGCGCGGCGGCTACGAGGGCTCTTGCTGGCACCGCGACCACGGGCTTGAGACTTGGGCGACTCGGGCTCAGGGCCCGAGAAGAGGGAGATGGCATCCTTGTGAGAAACAAGCTATTCCGAAAGCAAGAAATGTGGATGGACTCAGACTTCTGCTGAGGGTTTGCTTGGTTGTGAGCTGGAAGAAAGAGACTTTGTAGCCAGTCAAGCAGGTGAGGTGGGGTGGTTGTGTTCAGGTCAGGCTTCCTTCCTGTCCACGGTTGGCGCGTGGAGGGGGGGGTGCGCAGACCAATAGGTTCAGTACAGTACAGAACAGTAGAGCAGTGGCGAGCAACTCGACTCGCCTTCCTCGCCAGCACCCCCCAGTCGCTGCTCCGCCGCCATTCTACAGAAAAAAATGATACTAAAGGGATGTGGTACGGTGCGGAGGGGGAGCTTACAGCTTATCCATGGTCATTCCACCTGCGGCTCGAAGAATGATGGGGCAAACAAAGGGGTCAAGACGTGACGTGGCTGAAAGAGCTCAGAAATTCCGTTGACTATTTCAACAGCTAGAGCTAAGTGGCAAATCCACCCCGCATGGATATTGCTGTTTCGATTAGAAAACACAGCGTTGCGATGCTGCCATTGGAGTTCATTCTAAGTACAGTTAAGCTCTTGCCGAGGTGTGAGCACACCCACCGACACATTATCCAAAAGGGGGTTGTGAAATTACTTGAAACAACCTGGCCATTCGTTTCTGCCTGAGTATTCTGGGTCGAATCTACTTCATATAATTAGATGAAAACCAATAAACATATATTTCTTGCATGGAGCTTAAGGACGTACATGCATGCATACAAGCGAATAGCTAGCCAGCCAACATACAATCATTATGGACGCGTCCCCACCCTCGATCGAGCGCAGGATCGCTGTCAAAAACCAATCGGGCACACCGATCGCAGGATCGGGACAAGATAGGTAGGACGTGACAGCAGCGTTGAGATCGCGCGGATCGATTTCGAGCCCAAGGTGACAGGATCGAAAGGTTAGGGGGGAACTGTCAAGAACGAAAGTGTTGCATTCACAATGTTGGTTGGGGTACATAAACCTAACCCTAAGATTTGTACCCCCTATGACACACATCACTAACACTACAACATTTGACACACCCCCATAGTCCAAGTGAGGGGTGTCAAGCAAAACCAAAAATGTACGGTCACAAGATCAGTCACAAAGAAACGAAGCTCAGGGTGGATCACAACGTCACCACACACTCTGAGCACAAACAAAAGAGGCCACAAGGCCAGTCCAAGAGTTCACAAAGATATAAACAAAGTGTACAAGCAAAGCAAGCAGAGAACTCAAGTCTACAAACGACGAGAACCTATGTCAACAAGGCCTAACTGCACACAGCACCTCTGGTGGTCACAAGGCGGAAGCGCCTTGGTGAAGATGTCTGCAGTGTTGGCCTCGGACTCCACGAGCTCGAAACGAGCTTGTCCACGTCCGTGCAACTCTCGCAGAAGAAGGTACCTGATGCTAATGTGCTTCACTCTGCTCTCCATTTGCGGCTCTCGACAGAGGAGAATCGACGCCTTGTTGTCAGTGAACAAGGTCGGCGCAGAGCTCGGCCGCTCACCAAGGTCGGCGAGCAAGAAGGTCAACCAACGCAGCTCCTGTGCCGCCATGGCACCAGCGTAGATCTCAGCCTCAGCAGTAGAGGTCGAGACCGAGGAGGAACGCGTGGAGCTTTACGAAACAGCTCCAGAACCCAGGCTGAAACAGTAACCCTAAGTAGACCTGTGAGTCTCAGCGCCATCAGCGTAAGAAGAGTCACAGTGACCAATAAGTACGACAGACTGCTGCCCTCCAAGAACCAGCCCCACGCCTGATGTCGTCGCTAGGTACTTCGCCACTCTCACAGCTGTTATCCAGTGAACAGGACGGTGTCTCCCTGGCGCAACAAAGCGAGCAAGGATGCTGAGAGGGAAGGCGAGGTCCAGGCGAGTACAAGTCATCAAGTACATGAGGCAGCCTACCAGCTCTGCGTAGGGACCACTAGGCTCAAACGGCTCGTCAAAAAAGGGTCCAGTAAGTCTATGGTCAACAGCAAGAGGTGTGCGCTGTACTGCGGAGTGCTGAAGCTCGAACCGCTGAAGGACCTGCTGCACCATGTGTGACTGTGAGAGTGTAATGGTGCGAGCACCTCTGTCCCTGGTGAACTGCAGGCCAAGGTAGTGGCGCAGCTCACCAAGGTCAGTGCATGTGTGTCTCTTCTGCGGTTCGGACTTCACGTCTGCCAAGGCAACCCTATCAGCAGTGGCGAAAACCAGGTCGTCGACGTAGACCAGAACAAAGAACAGTGTGGAACCACGACGAACGAACAGCGACGGGTCGGCAGAAGACGGCTAGAAACCAAGGTCAGACAGGGTAGAATGAAGGGTGTCGTGTCACTCACGAGGAGCCTGACGAAGACCGTAGACCGGTCGCCTCAGCCTCCTCGGGGTCCCAGGAGGGAAAGTGCCTTTGAAGGCAGAGGGACGACGCAGCCAGACCTCCTCGTGTAGGCTACCCTAAAGGAAAGCAGTGGAGAAGTCGAGAGAGTGTAACTCGCAGTCTCTCTGTGGTGCTACGTGAAGTAACACCCGAAGAGTGGTCATCTTCGGGGTAGGCGCGAAGGTCTGAAAGAAGTCAACTCCCTCGCGCTGACTGAAACCTCTAGCCACGTAGTGTGCCTTGAAGACCGGAGGAGATCCTCGTGGCCGTTTCACCCTGTAGATCCACATGCCATCGACTACGTTCGCCCCAGGGGGGGGAACCTCGTCGACGTAGGTGCCTGTGGATCTGTAGGAGGCCATCTCTGTGTCCATGGCAACTCTCCACTGAGAGGCCCAAGGCCCTGACACTGCCTCAGCGTAAGTGCGAGGAGTCTGTATGTGAAGGGCGTCGGGGTCTCCCTCAGGGGCGAGCAGCATGGCACAGAGATGAGGGGAAGCGGCTTCCTGGAACTCTAGCTCAAACTGCCTGTCCTCTAGGGCGTCACAGCCAAGGGCAGACTCACCCCCGGCGGCCAGAGGACTGGTAGGAGGAGCAGCCACAAGACTGGTGGAGTAGTCAAGGCGGCGAGTAGAGGCAAAGTCAGTGACTGTGGCAGTAAGAGCGGAGACAGAGGACAAAGAGGCACGAGGGTGGGTAACAAGAGAGGCGAGAACACGAGAGAGAACAGGACGGTAGGCACAGTGGTAGTCAGTGACAAGAGTAGAGAAGGAAGCAGTGAGGGCCGACTCAAGGGGAGACGGAAGCACAGACGGAGACGAACGAGGAGGACTACGACGGAGCAGCACTGTGCGAAGGTTAGTTTGGGGAACAGGGGACGAGGGACGAGCACGAGGAGAGCAACGAGAGGGCCAAGCGTGCGAAGGAGGAGGAGACAGCGGAGGCGGAGAACGAGTGACAACATCTTGGGAGGAGTATGGAGGAGGAAACGTGGGACCGTAGATAGGAGGAGAGGGGGGAAGAGGAAGGAGAGCGAGAGGGGAGACCGAGGGTCCGAAGACCGGATACAGGAGGAGGAGGCGGCTGCTGCTGCTACTCCTGCGGCGCCTGCTGCTGCTCCTGCTGTAGCTGCTGCTGCTCCTCCTACTGCTGCGGCGGCTCCAGCTGCTGCTGCTGCTGCAGCTGCTGCTGCTGCTCCTCCAGCCGCTGCAAATCTAGCTCCTCTCTCTCCAACTCCAGCTGCTCCTCACGGGCACGGCGAACACGAGCCTGGAGCCGGGTCGGGTAGAGGTGGGGGGGAGGAGTAGTGTCCGGGGCCGAGGCAGCCCCAGGACCGCCGTCCAAAGCACCCAGCGCACCACCCCCAGAGTCAGCACCACCAACAGCAACACGGCCAAGCTCACCAGGACCCGGAGGGGGCGCACCCGCACCCCCAGACGTAGCACCCCTAGGGTCAGCTTGACCAACACAAGCTCCCGGAAGACGAGAGTTGCCTGCAGCCACGGGCTCAGCTCCAACTCCAGCACCCCCAGAACCAGAACCCGGCACAGGGACGCTCTCAGCACGAACTCCAACTCCTCTAGAGCTAGCACCTGCAGGGTCCTCTCCACGAACACCGGCTCCCGCAGGGTCTGCAGTAGGCTGCGAGGAGGACTGCGGGGAAGGAGGCCGCACCTTAGGGGCTACCGAGGGGGGAGGGGTAGCGTGGGACACACCTGACGGGGCTGGACCAGGGGGGGGAGGCTGTACCAGGGGAGCAGGAGGGGGAGCGGAAGTCAGGAAGAGAGGGGGAGGAGGAGCCGGGAGACCTCGGCAGGGGTACCTGACGTAGTAGGGGACGGACTCGTCGAAACCGATGTCTCGGGAGTCAAAGAACCGGTGAAGGGGAGGGTGGTAAAAGGTGAAGTCAGAGGAATCCTCTGGGAAACCAAGGAAGACACAGGGAACGACGCGAGGCGATATCTTGTCCGTGGAGGTGTCGCGAACAAGAGCCA